ACGACATACATACCGACTCCGAGGCACGGTTGCTGGAGCGAGCCAAGCTCGCACTATGGGACCAAAGACTCATCCTCGTGGATTCGCGGCACAGCCTGGCCTTTGGACAGTTTGGTGACTTTGTGCAGGGCAACGTGAGGCTGTCGAGCGGTGCCAACGTGAAAGTGTCAGACCTAGCCGACACGGCCACCGGCTACCAACATTCTTCTGGAAAACCCAGGGAGGGATGCCTATGATCTTCTGCGCACCGTTGGGCTGCGACCTGATGGACGACCAGTTCGTCTGCTCCGAAACCCAGACCCGTCTCTCTCCGCCGTCAACGTGCAGGTGGAGCATTGTCCGGCCGAGGATCATTTGCTGGTGTCAGTTGTGCCATCTCTTTTCAACTTGCACAGGTTTCTAGATTTCGTTCCCATCTTCGCTGTTTTTCTAGCATGGTAACCTGACTTTCAGTTTCGTGCAACAGAGCCATGTCGGAAGCCATGGGCACTGCGCAGTCCCCACAGCGGGACCGGAGAAGAAAGAAGAAGTTCCTGCTACGGAGCAGCCGGTCAAGCTGGAGCACTCGTGCGCAGATGCTGCCCAGTATGCAGAATTTCTTCGATGGAAAGAACAGCAGGAGAAAGGAAAGAACGAGAGCCAGGGCGGCCGCAATCCCGGAAACCCGAAGGAGGCGAAGATGGATGATGATCAACTTAACATGTTCAGACATATTCAAGCTGCAGCCCAACGAGCTCCACTGGGAAGAGTTGGAACCGTCATTGAGAGATACGCTGCGACTGAATAAGAAAGCAAGGGAGGACTTTATTTCAGTCCACCGACGTGGACATTTGCAAGCTTACGACCCAGAAGCAGGCCGCTTCACCGAAAAAACGGCAGATGATCACAAAAGAGACTTTGCTGCTCCACCGAGGCCAACATTGAGGGACTGGACCCTCGACTGAACGAGGCTATGATGAAATACCACTCTGCAAGCGTGCTCCCGAACATGACCAAGCTCTTCGAACAATGTGGGATTTCTTACGCCAAGGTGCTGGCCGAGACAGCCCAACGAATGAGCGAGCTTTTCAGGATTACGGGCTCAGTTCGGGTGATTTCGGAAAGGGTGCTGCCAAAATCCCCCGCTGGCAAAGGCAACAATAGCAAGGACTCCGGTAAGAAGGGTAGCAAGCAGAAGCCCTCAGTGGCACAACAAGTCCAGATTTGTTTAGCGTGCACCTGTACTTTAGGATACATTACAACCTCTCTTGCCCAGATTGCTCCCAGAGCAGCATCCCTCCAGGTTTTACTCAGAAGGGACGCATGCCAGTGAAGGCTTACATTTGCCCGGCTTCCTGGCCATGCTTCATCCTGGAGAGTTGGTGCTACTGACAAGGCGAGACTTGGTTTTTCCCGAGGACACTCTGGGCCACACGACAAGTTTGTTCGTACACTTGAGGCACCCGAAGACCAGCCGGTTTGCACGCCGTCAACACGGTCGCATAGACGATGCGGATGCGGCCGCCATCGCCTATGTGTACTCGGTCGTTCACCGTTTGCACATGGACGATCGTAATCACCCTGCTTTACTTCATAGTTTCCGTCGTCAATGGGACGATGTTTTCAGCAGGCTGGGGTTGCCGGTTCGTGCTGCTGCCAAGGGGGCCACGCCCGGAGTCCTTCGGGGCTCCGGTGCGACGCACTTTTACATGTGCACTGAGAACATTCCTTTGTTGGCCTGGAGAGGACGTTGGGCTCGCGTTAAAACCGTTAAAACCTTGGAGTACTACTTGCAGGAGGTCGCTGCCCAGGTTCTCCGCGCGCGAGAAGATCAAGCTCCTTGACAAAGCAGCCGACAGTCTGCTTTGTTACTATATGGGTGCTACGCAGGAGTAAAGAGGCGGAACACTTCTTGAAGACAGTGTTTTTTGAAGTTCCTTTTCAGCCGAGCTATGGCCACTGCCGGTCGAGAAACTCCGGCAGGCCAGTGCTCGCGAGCTGCCACGGCAGCTGCGGATTGGGCTACTCAGAGACAAGCAAGCGAAACAAGGGAAGATGTCTTGTATCTCCAGCAGTGAAGCTTTCGCTGTCGACCTCTCAAGATCTCCCGCCCGTCCCGCCCTGAAAGGGCTGAGTCGGAACACTTCTTGAAGACAGTCTTTTTTGAAGTTCCTTTTCAGCCGAGCTATGGCCACTGCCTGTCGGGAAACTCCGACAGGCCAGTGCTCGCGAGCTGCCACGGCAGCTGCGGATTGGGCTACTCAGAGACAAGCAGGCGAAAAAGGGGAGATTAATAGTTCTTCTTGGTACCCTCCGGGCACGCCAACCTTTTTTGCGAGCAGTGGGTTTCCACCCTCTCCTCGCTGTGGCGCTTTTGGGCTTTCGCCCAACCTTTGCCACGGCCGGCCCCTTTCTGAAACCAAAGGGCTATTTTTACAGGGTTGCTAATCCAAGACTTTCTGAGCTTCCTTCTGTTGGGAACCCTTTTGCACCTCGTCCTGCCGAGACCCAACCGCCCCGGCCCACCAGCGGCCACGGTACCATGGAGCACTCGAGGAAAAAGAGGAGCAGAGCACAGCATTGCATCAATGGCAACATTAGCTGCCCAATGAAATTTTCGCCAAAGGTGGTAAGTTTCTCCTTTCTGGTACTCCGGACGATCCGGCAGCGGGCGTAGGATTCTACATCACGTCCAAAGCCCTCCCGTTCGTTCAGGATTTTATCCCGTTTTCGACACGCGCAGCAGCGCTGATTTTGCGCACACAACCATATCCCACTATCCTGCTAACGGTCTACGCGCCGTCTATGCTCCAGGACGCTACACAGGATCTCAAGGGCAAACAGGTGTTCTGGGAGCCGCTCCCCGAATATCTTAAGCAACTCCCCCGCCCAGCTACTATTTTGCTGGCGGGCGATTTCAATGCACGCATAGTCAAGGAAGACCTAACTGACGATTCGGAATATATCGGCGCAGCAGTCTTTCTCACGGATTCGCCTTTTGATGAAACCACCAATTATGTATTCTTGGTGGAATTCATGATAGCAAAAGACTTTCTTCTGGTTTCCTCCAAATATCGTCCACAATCTAAGTTTAATTACATACAGGGAAATCAATTCCAGTCCAACCGCCTCGCCTTATTCTCCCTCTACTGAGGACTTTGCGGTAATTGATCACGTCCTCATGCATGAATGCTCCTTTCACCAGATGAAATCGGTATTTTTGCAGATCACATGGCAATTGCCATGGTTCCACAGCCATTATCCGGTAGCCTTTACGGTTACATACGATAAATTCACCAGAGTCAAACATACTCCTACTCCTCGCACAGTCCTCCCTACCACTCCCGAGGATCGACTAAAACATTTTGGGTCCTTCCCGGGCTATTCTCCGGGAACTTCTTTTTGGCACTTTTTTCTTTGCCCCCGCGTCCTGTTATTTACACAGGAGAGAAGGAAGTAAGGAAGGAAGAAACCAAGGAGACAAGGAAGGAAGGAAGAAAGGAAGGAAAGGAAGCAAGGAAGAAGGATCGAAGGACGAAAGGAAAGAAACAAACCAAGGAGGGAGGAAGGGAAGGAAGGAAGGAAGCAAGGAAGGAAAGAAAGAAGGAAGAAAGGAAGGACGGTAGTATGTCAGTATATAAAGTAAATATGGTGTGTATATATATAGATATGTAATATACATAGTATATGTAGGGTATATAGCATGTATATTGTATATATACATACAGTATATATTATATATACATATATATATAATATTTATAGTATATACACATAGAGTCTATATATATATATATATATATATATATTATGTAGTATATATATATAGTATATATACATATATAGTATATATACTATATACAGTATACATAGTATATAGAGTATATATAGTATATATAGTATATACAGTATATATAGTATATATAGTATATATAGTATATATAGTATATATAGTATATATAGTATATATAGTATATATAGTATATATAGTATATATAGTATATATAGTATATATAGTATATGTGAAAAGCGGAGGATTCCACTCAACTCTCGGTCACAAAGCCCAAGGCAACCAATCGTAGATCAAGGCAAAGCAAGCGGTGCAAAGCAGGACAATCAGAGATTAAAACCGTGAAGGTTGACGCTCAGGTAAGAGGCAAGTCCTACAACCCCCAGGTCGTAAGCGGCCTTTTCCTGGGACTCGCAACAGCGGTCCTTGAGCAGTCAAGCTGCGTAGTGAGACAAAGTTGGTCTGATTCCTAACCAGAAGGCAGAAGCACATGTACGCATGTCAGTGACAAATCACACCCCCCTCGACGCGAGCTCACGCGTGAGAAGAGCGGAGTTTAGGAGAGTCACATCCACTGATTGTGCACCGAGCCACACCTCTTCCGGTCAGCAAAGCTTGAAGCAATTAAGAACCATTAGATGTGGGTCGGTCTCTGCATCTGGATCATACCTATGTTTCACTTCTGTACAAACGCAGCCTTTTGTGATCGTCAGGCGCATAGCGAGTTGCCAAGTGATCGGTGGCAATCGGATGTTCCATCGGATCTATGCGGGTTTTACATATTAGACTCAATGCGCTCAGAGTGAGAACTCGGCAGCATCGAGTGTCCGTGAAAAGAGAGGGACACCCGAGGAAAATACCATGGCTAACCATTGTACCCCTGTGGGTCTTCTCAGCGCGGCGCAGGCAAGGAAGGCTGAGGAAGTAGCGGAAATTGTATCATAGCCGGGTTTCACCATCAGAATCCGCCTGACCCGAATGACGTGTGGAGCATGGGTCAGAAAGACTCAACCGGATTCACCTTGCAGTGACACAATGCATCGCCACGCAGGTCGACGGTCGTTACCTACGAGTCGTGGGGCTACGGGTACGGTCCTCGTTTCCTCGTCCGGAACCGCCCCTTCCTTTGTTTCCCTTATCACCCTTCCCTCGGCCTTTCTCCTGCTTTCCTTTTCCTTTCTCGGTTTTCCCTCTTCCTTTGCCCTTCGTCGGTTGCCTCGTGTCATCAGCTTCATCGATGAGGCCTGTCACGTTTGAGCCAGTTCGGGATTTGCCCTTTGCCGTTGTTTCCTTGGCCGGGCCCATCGTGCGAGATCGTGGCTCAGTCGAAGCGGAATCGGATGGAGCTGGAGGCGCGGGATCCGCAGTCTCAGCAACACGCTGTTGTGTACGCCCTCGCGCCTCTGCACTAGTAATCACCCGACCAGGAGTTGGCCGGACAATCGAAGGAGCCCATTTCTCGTCGCGGGCTGATTTCGAAGGTGGGTTCGAAGCGGTGCGAGTATTTGGTGCAGGGAACTTGGGGTTAATCCGTTCCTGCGTAGTAGCGGAAGTGCCTCCAGGCGAGGCAGCTCTTCCCGCTCCTGTTTCCTCGGCAGAGGGAGGAACTACGCCAGCCGCCTTCATATTGATAGGGTCATCGGGATTTGCATTCATCGAAATGATGACATTGGCGACTTTCTTCCTGACAACAGGCAGCGTGTTCGGTGCGTGATACATGCGAATAATATCTTCAATCGTCGGGTTGTCCAAATCAGGCTCCGGAACCCGGGTCTTCATTCGCAGTACCAAGGGTAGACCCTTTTGATCGGAGTAGGGTGCCCTTCCTGAGACCATCAGTGTCTCCCCTTCAGCGTGGGGAACATTGTAGCCCGATTGCCTCGACGTCTTCCGACTCGGTGGGTTAGACGGAGGCGGCATCTCGCGAGGCGGAGGCGGGTTCGTCTCAGGAGCGACACCTCCGAGGTGCTCTCGCCCAGTGCGTTGTGACTTCGGGCCGGGTCGGATCGCCCGTTCGAGCTCAGTATCATCCTCGTCCTCGTCATCCGGAGGAACGGGGACGGCATGAGCTTCGGGGATCGACGCGTGCCGTTGCTCAGTGGCCTGCACTCTGCGCTGAGGCGCATCAGCACGTCGTCGTGCCCGCTGAGCTGCGACGTCGAACAGATCTTGAGGCTCTTCTAGTTCATCGGGTAGAGCCTCGAAGACATCTTCGTTCTTTTTCATAAGAACAGGGTCAGTTCTCTTAGTATCGGGGAGCTGATCCTTTACGCCTTCAACAAGATTGAAGAACGTCTTCTCGGTCGCGCGATCATCATCGAAACATTCCTTAATCTTGACAGAGTGATCGCGAATGAACTCCTTGAATTCCTTACGCTTCTCATCAGGCGTTTCGGGGGCATCAAGGAGTGCCGTATTCCCATCAGCAAAAATCGTGAATCGGGAATCGGTATGGTGCGGGATGAACTTCCGCCCCAAAGGGTCCAAATCACGCCAATTGATGGCTTGGACATCGGGTTCTTCTTCTTCCCCTTTTCCTTTCCCTTTGGGCTTTTCAGTTGCCGCCGCAGTTCCTTCGATCTCCTCAGCTTCATCGTCAGAGATGTAGCCAGGTTCACCTTTCATCGGAATGCCGTAGCACGTCGTAAGGGTAACCTTGGCAAGGAGCGCGGAAAGGCTTTCACTATCGACACGCATGTATCGCTGATACTTTTGCGTGTCCGTGATAGTGGCACGGAACTCATCCAACGTTCCAAACTCGGTGGAAAGTCGAATTTGCCTTCTCATCGCCAGATTGGCGTTCTGCAATGGCAGATGCGCAAGCCGAATTTTCTCGACCATGTCTGAGTCGACGGTATAATCGATTGTCCCTCCTGTGTAAAAGGGGGAGAGATAGCCGCGCGACAGGCAGACTCGGTATGCGCGCTGACAGTGGATCGACCATCGTGCATAGTAGCACAGCGGCTTCTCGCGGCATGTGGCGAAGACCGCGCCGAAGTGCTTGACTATCGTGGTTGCACAGGCGATCGACTGCGAGTTGAGGAAGTCTTCCACACCGCTCCGAGCTTCCTTGCCAGTGATACCGGCAACAAGCCTCTCAATGGAGATGTCCAATCGAATGGCGCCTTGAATCGTTCCGCGCACGCTCTTCTTGAACAATTCCACTTCTTTCGGCGATGTATCAGCTGCAGTGCATTTGATCGGTGGCACCCCGAAGAACGCGGTTTGCCTGTGGTCCTCAGCGATTGACCTAGATACCGGGAAATTCCTCAGCTGCTTGATTGCACGGTACTCGTGAAGTCGGAATTCTTTAAGCTCGTTTCGCTCAATGAGCTCGTTGAGCCATTCGGCATGACTTCCATAGTACTCGACCTGAAATGGGTTTACAGGATCGGCGTAGAACATCCCATCAGGATAATGAATCGGCTTGGTGCAAGAGTGAAACATGTGGAGACCCACCGGGAATGATGCTCCGCACATGGGGCAGTCGAAACTAGCAAGCGGCCACGTTTCTCGTTTGTGGTCTCCTCTCTTGGGGCCAGTGCCGAACTTTGGGCCTCCAACATATTTGAAGGCCGTGTTGAACACAAGGGATCCCGTGTCCATGAAGTATGCAATGGGCATACAGGCGAGAGGGATACTGTCTTTGATCGCATAATATCCCCTCGGGTGGAATACAATCGGATTGATTCCCGCCGCAATCATGTGCAAATCAATCGCAAACACGATCATGCGGTTGGATCCCATCCCTTCAGGGAGCATGGATTGTGATGACGCGGTGTTCGAAAGCGTCTCACGCCCCGGGTTCATTCGGACGTTCATGTACACCTCTTCCCACTCATTGTTGTTCCCAGATCCGGGAGCATACGGGAGCAGAGTGAGGAACAGCCGTCCTTTCGGAGGATTGAGCTTGCAATCGCTCATGTACCCGAAGAATTCGCGAATCGTTGCGCATCCCCCTCCATACTGAGGATGGTATCGGGCCACATTTCTTTTCCTCTCGCCAGCGACGTAATGATCCTGAGCGAGCTGGATAAATGGCCCGTGCTGGCACTTGGTCAGCAGTCGGAATCGGTTGAAGTTATCAGGGCCGAAACCGTAGGTGGCTCGAATGCCGACAAATTGAGGACTTCCATCGTTGTCGATCGTCGAGTAGAAGAACTCAAACATTCGGTTGTTGTCCGTCCGGGCGATCTCCATAATGCATCGGGTAGTGATCTCGGTCGGTTCGCCTCGCTCATCCAGAATACTTGTCTGGAGAAGGATTCGGCCATCGTTCTCTCCGGCGTTGGCCTTCATGTATTCCCTCTCACGCTCCATGTACATCGGAATGACATCGAAAGCGATAATGCCACTCTGGTCGAAGCGCGAATACAAGGGAATGCCCCTTTCTTGATCCTGGGGGCGATTCTGCGTTCTCTCGGCAGTAGCGGAAGGATACTCCTTCGTTTGCGTCAGCACTCGGAACAGCAGTTTCCGCACCAAGTTGATCATTCCTGCGTCCGGAATCCTGGCAGCAGGGATGTTTTGTGCGTCATCGATCAACAATCGGCTGCATGACACGGATGTTCCGCCGACGGATCGGAACTTTGCCTCCTTAGCATTGTATGCTCGGACAGCGTCATGGATCTCGCGGCAATCCTCGTAAGACTCCGGTCGGAGGAAAGAATCGTGATCTCCTTTCACCGGTTTCTTGTGAAGTGCGACGTTCAAGTACACCGTCTGATTCGAGGACAGCATAGCGAATCGGCGCCTCGAATATTTGCGCTGTTCGTCAGTCGGTGGGAGACAGGTCGCGGAGACCAGCCGACCATGGACGGAATCATCGATGCCCATGTCGAGTCCCGGGACGACGAAGTCAGTCAGCGCAATCGGGACGGACGTCGTTTCATACTGCACAATCGGTGCAATAGAGTCGACACCCCTCTCGGGCATCTGGTCAGGGCGATGAATCGTTGTCGCCTTGATACCAGGGCCCTCGATCCGGAAATTTCTCGCATCATTTGCCGCTTGATCGGCTGTGGTGCTGGCCGGGTCAATGTCGATATCCGGCCCTCGAGCACCGGAGAGCGCGGCTCCCTGAGCAACCATGTCATTCGGAGGACTGGAACGCAGGCCGTGTTCCGGAGGCTGGCGGCGGGGCCTTGCCGGGGACCTCGTCTTGCAGCTCCTTCCCGCTACCCATATCTGCGTCCTCCTCGGGTTTCTGCTCGGGTTTCTGACCGGCCGTGTCATCATCCATTTTGGTATCATCGTCATCCTCCTTTGCACTCTCTTCGGACGCCCTCGGAGGTGCTGCCGCAGTAGGCGGAGGAGGAGGAGCCACGTTTGGCGGAGGCGGCGCAATCGCGCGCTCAGATGCAACACTAACCTGTTCAGTGGACGGAAGATCGTTGTCCGCCGCGCCATCACCCTGGCTACTCAGGGCACCTGAAGCATCACTGCGACGCGAGGAAGAAGCGGCAATAGATCGGGCATGCTTCTGGAACTCACTCGCAAGGAATCCAGCAGTGTTCCGCAGCTGTACTGCCATACTACGCTGGAACTGGGACAATCTGTCATCCCCAGATCGACCAGTAGTCCCGTAGCTCAAGTCATCGGTGAGCCCCATCAGGCTCTGCGCTGGATCTTCCTCCGGCTTACGGAACTCAGTCACTCGTCGTTGCATGGCGAAGCCCGGTGGCAGCTTGAGGTCCTCTCTCGTCAACCTTGCCGCCGTGTTGTTCACCAGGGCCACCCGCATGGATTGAATGACTTTTCCAGGGGTAGGCGCAATGAGGTCCGGCCAGTCATCGGGAGTCGGAACCTCAAGGTCCTCCGGCTTGAACACCATCTGTTCAAAGGACATCGCACCCATACCGCGGTGTCGGATGGCAATCTGCAATGACTGGTATGTGTTGAGAAGCGATCGGGCCATACCATATGTTGAGGGAATGTGCGGATGGAACACAGGAAGGGTCGACATGCTTGCGACAACTGCATCCAGGTTGGAGATAATCGCACCAACCTTGGCCTCGAGCTCCCCCCTGTTTCCATACTCCGGGGTCCACCGTGCATCAATGGCGGACACAGTCTCACCAGTATCTCGGTTGATGAGCACAGGCGTAAATCGGTCGCTGGCCATCTCCCTGATGAGATTGCTGTTCGACTCAACTCGGCGTCGGCCCTGGGCCAGCCGGTTCGTGACAGCGTCAAGCGCATAGTCACCCGGAGGATACATGGCACCCTGGAACACACTGTCATCGTTTATGTTCGGGTCCATGACCCTGGCTAGCCCATCGGCAATGGATCGAAGGTGTTCGGCATTCTCAACTCCCGTGGCGCCCTTCGCCACTTCCGCGATATGCGCCTTCATTTTAGCAGCCTGTTCACATCGAGCCTCAGCTTCACTGACTTGGCTCTCGAAGTGCGCATAGCCTTGGCGACCCTCGGCAGTAGGGCCCGCGGCTTCCACACCACTGAACGGCTTCGGCTTCTTCATCGCAGATAGCGGGATCGCCGGCACGGCGGGTGGTCGTGCAGCGTCCCGATTGGCGGCGACTGTTCGCTCTGCATCCCGGGGAGTAGGCAAGTTCTCGAATGCTTCAGTCATTCCTTCGAGAAGCTCATTAAACTCCTCATCGGATTCCTCTTTCTTGACCGCAGGCATCGCTGCATCGCCATCCCCTTGCTGTCCGTCGCCATCGGAGCTATCGCTAGACTCTTCATCGTTCGCAGCAGCCGGAGCAAGGCCGGGCGATACCGGCATTGCCTGGCCATGCACAGGAGTAGCGGGCAGCTCAATCGGATCCGGATGACGAATACCCGGCAGATCAGCCAAAGACGTCTGTTCCTGTTTAATCGGATTCTCAGGAGCAGCCGGACCTGCATCGTCAGCCATCTCCTCTTCATCTTCGTCATCGAAGCCAAGCTGACTCATGTCAACGGTCTTTGCGGCTCGATGATCAGCGCCGCGATCTGCCCCTCGATAAGGTCCTGCACTGTGGAGTGCACAATGGCCTTCACCGTGCCAGTCGACCTTTCTTCCGGAACTGGAGTGCGCGCCCACATCTTATCGTGGGCAATCTGATACTCCCGTCGTGTAGCGTAAGACGGAAATCGTGCGAGAGCCGCCAGTGTAAACATCGAGCAGATACGGGTACATAGGACCCCGATCGTTTTGGACTCATGCATGATGTGATATCCTTTCAGGTACGGTAGTCCTTCCAGGATAGCGTCAAACGACAGGGAAAGGAAGTTGGACCTCCTGATTTCGTCCCAGATCGACCTCATCTCCTCTCTGTATTTCTCGAAGAGAGGGCCAGGAAGAGTCGGAAGGAAACCCATGCTCGGTGACACTGGTCCGCAAAGGGACACCGATCCGTAGATCGTGTTATACTTCTCAAGGGCGTCCCGGGCGGTCACTTTGGCGTATTGTGATCGTGCCATATCGATGTCACCAGTCAGCTTATTCCAGCCTTGGTCCATCTTCCACAACTCGTCTCCTTTCCAGAGGATGAGGATGTGAACGTTCGATGGCGGGACAGATGGGTCACTCCGCATCAGTTCGAGAGTGTCTACCATCTCCTTGAGCTTTTCGCCCTCATCAAACGCCTGTACCCGAACTTCGGACTCAGGGAATCCAAAGCTTGCCAGCGCGTTCTTCAGATGGGTGTTCATCTCACCAGCGTGCCAGGATTTGGCAGATCTGAAGGTTAGCAGGCCATCGTGCATGACAACGAATCTCTGCGGCTTGCTGGGTACTGCCGGCTTGATCGTTGGCGGAGCACCTCCAAATGCAATCGTGGATGCCATGGTCGTGACCGTTCTGATCCCGTGAATCGAGACAGCCACAAGGGCATCGGCTGGGCTCCAAATAAGCGCGCCAATGATATCCGTCGTATTTTCTTCATCGTATACGATACCCTTGATATTCTTGGCGGACGTGTAGCCGAAGTTGCCGAGCAGAGCACCGTATGCTTTTCGGTAGTGCCTGCACCATGCCTCCCACTCTTTGGAGGGTCCTCCGGCTATTGTCTCGAGCTTTGTAGGCTTTGGCAAGCCTTGGCTGCCTTCCTCACCCAGCATGGGTGCACGCGACTGAAAGAAAGGAGCCAGCTCGATTCGGTAGCTAGAGGACTGGAGCTCGGATAGCAATGCATACCTTCCACCGACAGTGGCTTGCTCACTCGTCCCGTACGAGTCGGGCATCCAGTGATTGCGTCGAAGCACTACCGGGTTGACGGTGATTCGCTCCGTTGCCTCACCACCACTCGCCGCAGCATGATCATCGGCCGCGGTCGCCACAGGCTGCTCCGTCTCGGTAGATGCAGCCTGTTGGGTAGTGTTGCCCCCCTGAATCGTTAGGTCGGCAAACTCAACATTGTCGCGCGCGACACTGTCTCCCAGCAGCTTCAGAATGCGAGGATCGATCGGGCTCGCCTCCATCCACGGGTGCCAGGCCACGGCTTTCGTCCCATCGGCACTGAGGAATCGGTGTCCGTGGATGACGTAGTTCGGGGAAGTAGAAACCCCTTGCTCGCGGTCATCCAAGAGGCGGAAGGGCCTGAACGCGATTCCGCACAGCTCGAGAAATCGAGTTCCTACGCGGATCTGTTTCTGGGATCCCCCCAGCTTCTTTGTCGTGCGACTGTGGCTGTTCACCATAGTTCGGGAGACGCAGATCATCACCTGGAACCAGTAGCCTCCGCCGAGGTACGTGCCAGATGCATAGCTACCGGCAGCCTCGGGGGCGTGTCCAGTCACCCAGACGCAGGGTTCGTGACTTCCATGATCATCCGTCACGTAATCCTCTCCGAACAAGCCTCCGTGAGCAAGAATCGACCAGAGGTATCGGAGATTCGTTCCGTGGAGGTACGTCTCCTGAGGATCGTATATGTCCGAATTCATCGCTGGGACATACACCCACCCGTCAGTCGGGCGGATGGTGATCTGTGACGCACCGTCCTCGTAGGTCATTTGGGTGCTGGCTCCCCAATTGAGCGTATCATCGATGCTGACGCATCGCCCGGGGTAGGCCTCAGCCATCGTGTTCATGAACGAGGCCCACCCGTGCATCAGCGGGTTATTCTCATCGTCGTCTTCGTTGCGAAAGGCGGCCACTTCACCAATCCCGTTCGCATCCACGGCAGGTAGATCGTAGCCGTGTTCCTTGCGGTCATTCTCGAGGTGACTCGCTTGCTCTTTCAGAGAATTCAGCGTGGGAAATCGGTTAAGGGCCTTGATTGCCAGAAACGCCCCAGGGATGAAAGAAAGTGTCGGCCTGAGCTGCAGAAATCCCTTGAAGAACCTCGCGGCTTCAGCCGGGTTGACCACATCCCTTGACAACTCAATGGGCGACAGCTTGGTGAGGTCGTTGTGCTTGATACTCGTATCGGTCCTCAACCATCGCTGTTCCGCAGACGAACTGCTGTATCCCATGAGATTTCGATTCCAACTCGCAAGAGGCGACGGAATGTAACAGGTTCCCATGAGGCGGAGCGTATCGTTGCTCAGTGTCTCTCGAGACCCCTTAAAGGTTTGCGCTTGGAAGTGCATACAGTGGCGAGCCAATGCCATCGTAAGGTCCATTTTCTCGCGGACCCCTGCGGCATCACCGGACAACGTTGCCACTCGGGAAAATGCAAGAGCGCACATCACCCTGTATCGATCGATGAAGTCCATAAACTCTCGGGGATACTGCTTCCTCTGCTTATCCGCAAGCGGATGATTAGAGAGGAGGAAGGAGTCAACTAGCTGATGCAGCTTTAGGTCGAAACCAGAGTTGCATGCCAGCTGTTCGAGGCGCTGCCAGATTGAGGCCTGTGGGATCTCTTGGACCCCGATTTTCAGCATCATTGCTTTCATCCTCAATCCTATCGGAACGTCCTCGGAGCGCTTCCCACCCCCAGTAGACTCATCTCTCGGGGTCTGAATCGGGACTGGGGCTTCATCGGCGCCCATGTTGGCGTCATCCTAGGGATCGGCGGAGCAGGAGGCCTTTCCGTAGTTGGCGCAATCGGGCCGCTCGGAAGGCCTTCCCCGCAAGGCGAGGGAGATTTCGGCTGAGGTGATCGGGCAGCCGGTGTCTTGGCGGCAGCCTTCTTCGGTGGCTGCTTGTTCTTTCCCCCCATCGTTCAGCAGCGGCGGCAGCGCGGAGAAGTTCGCAGCCCGTGGCAGCTACAACCTGTCCTAGCAGGGAGCGCAAGTGGGCTATGGACTGAGTCGTAGTAGAGGTGGTCTGTGATGGTCGGTTGATGAAGGTGATCCATGATCGTTGCCCTTAGAGCTCCTTACCAAGCTATAGTCAAGTGTGAGTGTGTAAGTATGTGCATGGCCTTGGCGTCTTTGTTTAAGCAATCGGCAACGCGGATTGCTGTGAGCCAAAAACCGCAGAATTGATGAAATGTTCTAGCACAGCCCACAATGCAAATCGAAGCTCTTTCGGGTCGACCCTTTTGGCCTTCTTGTGATTGCATGCAAATCGTGACATGAAGATGGGCCCAAACCGGGCGGGCATGAAAATCTCGCACATCCACGCATGCTGAGAACATCGACCAGAGGAGCACGAACACAGCTTAACTGGGCAAAGCTCGTGCGATTCAGACCATCGTCTTATGTACTCCCTACCCCACAATGGGTTTCCCTTCGGTAGCACAAGGAATACAGGGATTCCAGATGACCGGGCAGCGGAAGCGTACCCGAGTAATTTCTTGGCTTCCCATCCTTTTTCTTTGAGGTCGCCCCTCATTTCTTTCCAACCCCTGCTCTTGAAACCGGCTTCTCTTTTGTTAGCGGTGCCAGCAATCGGAACAGTAACAATACATACCGCAGGCGTAGGCGGAACCCTGATGTTCGAAATAGCAATCCCCTTTGCATTATCATCGAGACTGAGATTGATACTTCGAGCATGAGGGAATCGGATTATGCCTTCGCCTCCGATATGAATACATTTTATGGCTGCTCCGAATTGGTGAGCATCATCGATTGAAATACCCCCCTGACGAGACATTTCGAGGATGAAATCGTTGAAGGGACTGTGACCAGTTTCAAGATGTACCCCCCTGGTTGGACAGACAGAGGGGAGAGCAGAGAGAGCGGGAGCGGCAGACAGCATACCAGAGGAAATAAGAGTACCTTTGCGAAAATGACCAATAGACATAAGGTTGCGACCCCACACTTTGGCATCAGTGCAGGCCTTGGTCAGGATATCACCAGCCTCAAACTGAGAGGGACACGTCACAAACAGAAAGTCACCAGCGTGGTAGCGTTCATTCAACGCAGAAATATCGATACGCTGGGTACGAGACATATGACGCATATTAGGATTGTGACCAGTGATAATGACTCGGATGGCAGCTTCATTGTCTTCCATGACACGCAAACGGAAGCGACGGCCCAACATATACTCCCACATGGAGAGAGCGGGCAATCCCAGTTTATAGACGGCGTGATCAAGGGAGACAATTTCGGCTTCGGGAGTAGACTTTGACACAGAAGTCTGCTTCTTGGACAGCGCATTAAGAGGCATAAAGCTACGCGGGCCAAGAAGACACATGAAGACACCAGACGTGCTCTTGGAATCAGTGCGGTCGCCCGCAAGATCAGCATCGCAATAGAGCACAAGCTCTAACATCTCGGGCGCATCACCAATCCAACCATATAAATTGAGATCGAGGGTGGAATTGATATAACACACCAAACGATGGAGCTTCTTGTCACACAAACCATCCCACTTGGTGATGAGACTAGCAAGTGCCTGCACAGGACGGATGAGATCGTATCGCCCCATGCGAGCACCATACAAGATTTTCATCAGGACAGCGGCAGCGCAGTCACCGAGAACGCCCTTACCAGGAGGTATAGGCGTATCGGTGGGATGGCCCAACAAACGGTTCACCTCGGGACGATCCGGATTAGTATCGAACTCCGGTCGTGACTCATCGAGAAACGGCGTGTCAGCCGACCGCAAGGTGGCTTTGTATTTCGGACCACAGAGCTCGACATAGCGAGAGACACATGGCTCCATGAACGATCGCATATCGTACTTGATCATTCGGATTTCGCGAGGACCGGCAGAGCCCTGAGCGACAGTAGTGTCACGATCGCCAAAAGTGAGCTCGGGAAATGCCTTCTTGGGTTCCTCGAAACGCGTCCAATAGGAGCGCGGATCAAAAGAATTAGGAACAACATGAGAGAAAGTAACATGCTCACAACCCAAATAACGTTTGATGCTCGAGGGCGGCTCCAACTTAATCTTTGATGCCATGAGCTCCCACCCTGTGGCCAGATTGGCCTTTGGTCCACTGAGCTTAAAATCATCGACGTAGACCACAAGAATAAGGTTAAGCTTGGGATGGCGAAACACGCTCTTCCAGTCAGGGCATTGCTCGAAGCCAACAGAGCGGAGAGCCTTTTCGCAATGCTGTTCCCAGAACCCACCGGCATCCGGGTGCCCGTAAAGGGCCAATACAAGACGCACAACCGGGTCATGATACTTCCCATGCCATTCGGGCAGCCATCGATCTTTGGGCAGTCGCACCCATGTGGCGGGGCCACCAAGCTTAGCTTGAGTGTAGGCGGACTCGCCGTCCGCAACTTGTATTTCGTGACCGGGCAAGAGACCGAAAGCATCAGCGGCCTTCCCTGCCTCCATGGTCGCGGGGCATGAAGTTATCTCGGAGAAAATCGCCCAATTGTTGCCTTCATCTTTGACATGACAGCCCTCAAACACGACACGACCCTTAAATTTTCGATTTGGATCGGATTCTGGAAGCTCGGAGTTCTCACGCATATATCGAAGATACGACCAACATGGGCCGTCTCTCCCTTCGCCATGGCCTCGTTAGACACATCGCGCCATTCACGCACGGAGGCGTAATCCCAGCAGCCCTGATTGATAAGTTTATTCCACTCCTTATCAAGGGCGGCCTTGGCCTTGGGATTAGCGGCACGTTCTTTTCGATCAACAGGCCGTGCGACACACGCGCTGTAAAAGAACACCGAAGAGTCTGGAGAGCGATGCGAATGAGGATCGGAACGAATAGACATCGCAGGTGCTGCATCGGTATCCAGACAGTCGTTGGAGGGCTCTACCGGTGCAGAAGTACCATCCCCGGTATCCTCATCCGTGAAATCAAGTTCAACTGCGGCTAGCACGGAAGTATAAAACTGAACCACTGCCACATCCTGTCCTGGTTCGACTATAAGATCGGTGTCGGTAGGATTAAGGACGTCGACCCCGGAATGGGTAGCCCCTTCGTTGTACGTATACATGGCCGGACAAATATCGAGGCCACTACCGCGTAGCGGCTGAAGGCGGGCCGACATGCCGCTTGGGGGATCGAATTCAAGGTCAGTAACAACACAGGCGCGAGATTTAGCAGGGACTACAACACGTCCCTTCGCACGTAAGGCGTGGCCATAATAGCCGTTCGCCGTTTGCACTCGGCGCTCTGTTCCGTCGTTATTCGGCAGACTGGTTCGAACCTTGATCTGTGTTTTGGCAGAAGAACCGATAACGAAAACGGTCTTTCCTGTCCATCGACATGGCAGAGATCGCACATCGGATGATCTCCATGAGTCCTGCAACGTAAATTCTGTGCCATCGGTCATGGCCATAGTCATCCTGACATCTGTCAAGGTCGCAGGATCGACAGGACAGTCCTTCACTGAGGTGGGATTAAAGCGCGCTCGGCGCTCGATCACATGAAATCGGGTGACCGTGCCAGCTGCGACATCGTGATACCAATAATCCTTATCATGCCGTTCAGCACCCGACTCATATTCGGAATCGAAAGCGATGTCGACAGGAGCGGCATCGCGAGAATCCTCTCGGGACATGGCGTGAGACTCAGCTTCTCGGCGCTCAGCCTCGACATATCCCTCCCGTTCGGCGCGATTCATGCTGCGCCAGGATTCGGAGTCGATAGAGTTCGGTTTTCGAGACCCTCGGTAGACACGCTCGGAGCGCGGCACACTCTGACGGTAAGGCAAACCCCCCTCGCCCTCCAGGATCTCCGACCCATGGTAAGGAGGTAACTTCTTCTTGGATGGGGCAAAGCCATCATCATAGAATTCGACAGTGCCTGTCCAGAGTTGCATCAGTCTCGTCTTACCGAAGGCATAGCCGGTTTCATAGATCGTAACCGGACTTTTATCCTTATACTGAACATGCGAAATACGCACTGTGCTCAGCTTCCACGGATCAGGCGACTCGCCAAGAGATCCGGGAGTCTTACTGGGATGAATCATCGCCTTTCTCGGGACGACTACGTGATAAGTCCACTTATGACTCGATGGATCATATTCCCAGTAGTCGACACCTCCTCCATGAGAAGATTCGGCTCGTAACTCGGCTTCACGAGCCCGCCGAACATCTTCTTCGGTCATTCGGGTCGGCTCGTCGAGGGCAAACATTTCATCGATATCTTCGAGTTCGAGCATATCAGAGGCGTCAAGGCGCTCACTAGATTGAGGCGCACAAGACTGCATCGCGGGATCGTTGATGCACATTGATCGAGTCTGCTTGTCGTACACGGCGAGCATCGGGAACGTCCATCGCTCCTTGGGTGAGCAATATATCTTCTTGACCTGGTGGACGCTCGCACGCAACGCATCGCGTTTGAAATCTTCCAAATCGGCGACAATGTAGTCACCGTCCCACTTGCCCCCGTTCTCAAAATGACAACCCAGAAAAATACCAGGCTTACTCGTAGGGGAGAACTTACTGGGGCGTTGGTAAGACGACAAGCGTTGATCAACTTCGGCGCCCTGAAGAGTGTTAGATTGATCATTGTCTCCGTCATCAATCCACTCTAAATAACCATCGTCATCGAAACCAATTTCGACATCAATCAGTCCGTCGGCCCCCAGGCGCAGGTACGGCGTACTCCTCACCATCGCCGAGGACAACTTCATCTCTCTGACTCCGCCGGGTCTGTTTTCGTGCCGGCGTAGGATGGAAGTCAACAAGGCAACCAAACGGCAGAATCTGACCGTCAAACTCAACACCATCAAATCGCATCGCATAGGCACTCTGACCCTCGCGCAATTCGATGTTACGAGCATGGCAGAAGTGCTTGCATGCGTAAGGCCAGAATTTGGCGCTCAATCCCGCTTGTCGTAGCGCCACACGTGCGCCATGAAGGACAAGCTTCACCTTGCTCTCGGCAATGGCATTAGTTCGAGGCATTCCCGGGGTGGAGTGCTTCACAGATATGCCGACTTTCTTGCAGGTCGATATGAACTCACGGGCTTTATCACAATAGATCTCCCGAATCGCAGAAGGTGCATACCTCCTCTCCACATCAATGGAGCACGAGTTCACGTCTCGAAGATCGCCAAAGACCTGTTGAAATGCTCGGAGCGTATCGGCATTCGTTCTTCCCTTAACGGGAACGCTCTCCAGCCACTCGGTTGCTAGATCGTAGAAGACGACAGCATCCGTCTCCCCAATATTCCCGCGATTGCCGAGCCCATGCAACACCATGGTATCGATGGTGACGTGTTCGCCAAACTTCTCAAACCCTTTATCGCGCGGTGAGTCTTGACGAAAGGATTTAACATTTTCCATCTTTGCACGTTGGCAGGCATCGCAGTAGGGGTTCTTTGGGAGATGAGTCATGAGATGACGGATTGACTTTGCCTCATCTTTCAGATCGCGCGCTCTAGGTTCATCAGGCGGCGACTGAGGCTTACCCTTGTCGGGAACCTTCTTGTTATCGTCAGGTGCACTCTTCTGAACGCTCTTGGCGTTGGGCATATCGAGATCAAGTTCTCCGACAGCGTTTAATTCGCTGCCAGGCTCCTCACCAGCTGCAACGACCTTTTCGTGGACGATAATCGGTGCTGGGAGGGCCGGATACACACGAGGGAGATCAGGTCTGCCGGCCACTACCTCTGTCTCACTTGGAGCAAGGTAGGGAATATTATTGATCACGTCGACCTTGAGGCGTTTCCCTTTCGGATCAAAGAATATCGGATCGCAAAAGGGCTCCCAAATGAATCGATAACCAAGCTCCTTACATCGTTTCCCAAGGGAAAGGAGACTTGGCGTGCTTTCCAACACATAAGCTTCAATCAGTTCATCAAGACCATCGATGCGCATATGCGCGACACCCTTGGTGTTGGTCTTCCCGTTAGCTGTCCGAAGACTGATCTTAGCATTCTGGACGATCAGATCCCTTTCCTCACGGGATAAATCACCGAGACCAATAAGGTCTATACCGCAACCGGAGTCAAGCATGAGTCTCCGTACCCTCTTAATAGACTTGACAGCAGCAGCAAAGACTTCGCAAGCGCTCCGCTGAGAAAGCGTGAGCTCAAGAACACAAGCATCATTTCCTAACGTTTTGGCATCAATGTCATCGAGCAAAACCTGCTCTCGCCACAGCACAGCTTTCATATGGGCTCTTCGCCTCTCGCGAGCGCTATTCAGACCACGGATATTTTCCGGCCACGAATAGCTCAAATTCCTCTCGCGATTGACGGGGCCGAAGGCCGGCTCCGGGAAAGAAGACTCTATCACGCGGGTCTCAGTGTTCCCAAATGACACTGTCTTCCGCTTGACTGACGGACATGCCATATCGAATGATGCTGCACAAGCGAACGCAAAGTCTCCAAAGGAGGATGCTGTCATTGCCTGAGGGTTGCGGCACGCCCCTCTCAAAAATCCGAGGGCGTTGGCGCCGGGCTGTCAACCCGCCTTGATGTCGGCGCGGGCTCAGCAGGCGCAGGAGCGGCAACAGAAGTGCTCTCAGCAGGAGCACCAGGCTTCACATGCTTATACGGACACTTATCACCTCTTGTGCAAGATCCACGGGCATAGTAGAAGCATATGCCAGACTCCTTTGATATCGGTGACTGGGATCGAGGCGGGGAACCCTTTGGCGAGGAGCTTCTTCCCTTCAGGTTGTGGGAGAACTTGCATCCGCTTCCTCGCGTGCATCTGCCTTTCTTGAAATCGTAGCAGATTTCCCGTCCTCGCGGGGATCGCGACATCGGGCGAGTCGGTGCGGGAGCTGCTCGTCCCGGACTGCGGGAATATCGCCTTGGCGATCCGCGTCGCGGGGAGGATCGTCTGGGTGACGAGCGCCTCGGCGAGCTCCTTCGGTACGGACTCCCTCTCCTGGAGTCACGACGCCCAGGCGATCTTGACCCTCTTTGACCTCGGGATGAAGACCTGCGCGGGCTGCCATGCGCAGGTGCAGCGTATCGTCTCTGCGCAGAAGTAGACCTTGTAGCGGTGTACATCTTTTCCTGATTGCGTCGTCGGCGCCAAGTTGTAATCGCATTGACGCAGACGGTTCGCAAGTATGCGTAGTTCCGTACGGATACGTCCCTGTCCCATAGCTGGATGTTTCCAGCTCGAGACAGCGGAACTCACGCACCTGCTCGTAAAAGAGGGCGCAGAGAACAGGATCTTCGGGGCGATCGACTGAGATACCAGCGAGAACATGATCCCACCGATTGGAGAAGGCTTCCAGCCTTTCCTGCTCGGATCCATGAGTAAACCGATCAATTGTGGTCTTCATCAGGTCAACGAGCTTGAAAGTCGAATCGCCGGTGACATGTGGTCGAAGGAAATCATACAATAGCCACAAGATCTGCCTACTTCCGAGTCGCCGGTTTATCGTATGCATGCGCTCGGTCTCGGTCTGGATCTTATTCTTCAGTGCAATGGATCGGACGCACTCACGGAACGCAGAGTTGCATTCGTTTTCAAGCATTCCGTACTTGCACTCATCGAGGAGATCCTCATATCGTGTACCATCGGGAATCTCAACCCATGAGAGTGCGTATCCGGGATCGTAGGCGAATGCGTTCGCGACTCGCTCTTTCATATCGACGATCCAGCGTCGCAGCTGAGCAGGCTCCGGCTCGGGATCGAGACGAAAGGACTTGCACTTTGCCTTCTTGGCCTCGCTCAGCGATCCATCGCCCTTGGGTCCACCGAATCCCGGATCGTTGGGACCAGGTGGATTCCCAGTCTGTCTCTCAAGACACACGAGACAGATTCTCAAAGGATCTCGGCAACATCCGTTGCAGCACGAGAATCGGCAAGATATGCACGACCGTCGCACGGTGGTCGGGAAAGTTCCGGTGCAGCGCTCGCACTGGAACGTATCGTTCCCACTCGGCCGACCGGAGGGCCTGATGCTAGGCGGATCAAGGCCGCCATCGGGCGGACCACTCCCGTCAGGAGGGCCACCACCAACAGGCGGACCACCAGGTGGGCCGTCGGGTGGGCCACCACCGCCACCGGGGCCAAAACCGGACCCGTGGTGTCAATGTCCTCCGAAGCCACCGCCATATGCACCCCCGTTATCGTTGGGGCCATCACCACCGGAACAACCGCCGTCTCCGTTACGCGCGGGCGGCGGTCCGCCAAATCCGGATGGCGCGGCACTGGGTGCAGGAACGGACGTTCTGGCACTGAAGGTAGGCATCGGGGGCATGGCATCGTTGGCTGCAGCATGCTGAAGCGTCGCAGTAACGCTCGTGTTCGGCGCAAGGGTAAAAGTACCGGTCTCACTATGGAGAATTGGTGCGCCAGCACTGTTGCCAATGAGATTTGATCGGCCAAGCATCGCATCATACCATCGTGATGGTCCCTTCCCTGCCGGGACGGTTCGAGTATCATAGGAGATTTGGCATGGGAAGGTCGGGCTTGACCTGGGCTCAGGAGCGAAGCTTCGAGCTTCAGGGACATGTCGGATGTCAGCGCGAAGAGCATCATCGACTTGATATGGCCTGAGGCTCGGAGCCTGACCGGAAGTCGCTCCGGCGGCATTTGCGGAAGGAACGGCCTGATTCGGCGATCTTCCCGAAAAACACGCCGACGTTTGGCCAAAATTATGTCGGACGGGCTCAACAGGATTATTTTGCCCGCGACTTTCGGCAGGTTGTTCGTCAGCGACTCGTTGCTGCGCTCGCCTCAGAATTTCATCGAGATTGATTCCACTCGTCTGAGAGTGAACCGTTGAGGCCTTTTCAGCAGGCGCAGCGTTGCATCCCGGCGGAGAGCCGTGATCGATCGGACCCAACAGGGAAGACCTCGGAATGGCTGTAGTCGGTCCGCCAGGGAATAGAGCACCTGGAACTGGCGGCAGGTCCGCGGGGCGTGGAATATCCCCACCATGGTCACTGATATCGAAGAACTGCGTCCGTTCCGGACGCGAAGGCGTTGATCTATCAGAACCGCCTCTGCGGACATGAGCGTTTTCGAGGTGCTGGATCCGAGCAGTCAGCTGATCGATATGAGCTCGGTTACTTTCCTTATGATCGTAGAGAGCGCGACTCATCTCGGATCTGATGACTTCGATGCGGTGGGTAGCGTTCTGCTCCACCGCAGCAACGCGCGCTTCGGCATTAGAGATATTGATCTGAATCTGCCGCAGCGCGTCTGGGTACTGCTTGATGTGGCGGATCGTTTCGGCAAGCTGCATGGATAGCGACCCAGCACGCTTTTCGTTGAATTGATGGATCCGCTCATCGAACTCAATGAGTCGATCGTTGATCGTCGAAGTGAGCTTCGCAAAATGATCTTCAAGCGTTTCGTGATCAGAAATCCGCCTCTCGCGGAAAGAGTCCTGGAACTGCATGAACAGCTCACGCTCTTTCCTCAACTCGGCCTGAAGAAGCTCCCACATGTCTCGGATCTTGCTCTCGAGCGCTTCGGTGATATCCGAGACGCCGTTCCTCAGTATATCGAGGTCGGCTTGGGTGTTGGTCACACCCTGCGCGATCGCCAGAATATCGGTGGCGATGTGCGCGGATGCTTCTGACCCAATGGCTTCATCGACCAGGGCCCTGACAGCACAGGGTCCGGTATGCCACCCGCCGTTATCGATGGCGGGGGCGGCACCACCATGACCCGCCGCGGTAATCGTTGCGACGGAATCATGGGGTGCACCCGGATGCTCGCTCATGGGCTCGTCGGAGCGAGGCTCCACCGCGGCCAGCCACCGGCCCGTAGGAATCGGGGCGCGGTGGGCGGAAGGACGCCGGGTCCGAAATCGGTGGACCACGGCCGTCCGGCCCGGACCCATAGAGGGCCCGAGCGCCCTCTGGATCCCCGCGAAGGGACAGAGGACAAGCTGAAAGATCGGTCGGAAGAAGGGTAGGTGCGGAAGCAGCAGGAGCAGCGGACGCAGAAAAGGCAGGCAACAAAGGCAAAGCACGAGCGGTGGCAGAAGCAGGCAGCATGCCGGCGGGCATCGTGCCAGGCGTTGCGAAAGCAGCAGCAGCAGCAGAGCATGGCAAAGGCGGCGCATGGTGCTGAGCTCTCTGATCGTCCTCAGCAGGCGGCGAAGCAAGCAGCGAAGCAGAGCGAGCGAGCGAAGCGTGCGAGGCGGGCGCAGTGCAGCGAGATGCGTGGGCACTATCATCGGGCTCCACGACATCCCGAGCAACTGGCGTCACTAGTGAAGAACCGACAGTCGAGGGGACACGGGGAGAACCGATCGGAGTCGCCATTCTCTCGGTGGCGCGGCCAATCACAAGTTCCGAACTTGGTCTGAGCCAGGAAAACGGTAGTGATCGGACGCTGATTGGATCAGGCGGTCCGAGTGCCGAGCAGCAGCAGCGAAGCAGCAATCCACAATCGGATGCGGAGGCCTTACGGCTGATAACCTGTGAAAAGCGGAGGATTCCACTCAACTCTCGGTCACAAAGCCCAAGGCAGCCGATCGTAGATAAAAGCAATGCAGCAGGCAAAGCAAGGATGATCAGAGTTAAAACCGTAAGGTTGACGCTCAGGTAGAAGACAGGTCCTACAACCCCCAGGCTGTAAGCGGTCTTTTCCTGGGACTCGCTAGGCGGTCCTTGAGCAGTCAAGCTGCGTAGTGAGACAAAGTTGGTCTGATTCCTAACCAGAAGGCAGAAGCACGTGTACGCATGTCAGTGACAAATCACAGATGGTAAGGGAGCGGAGCTAGCAGAGTAAGAGCCCGTCTTGCACTCTAAATCCTAACTCTGCACCCAGACCCTAAACCGGAAATCAGCCCAGAACACGTTCCAACTCTGCGTCCTGCTGGCGACGCCAATACACCCTCACCTGTTGAATGGAAAGTTGGAAATCACATTATCTGCGTTCTTGTTAACGAACTGGTATTTCAGTTGCCACAGAAAGGAGATCATCTTACTCGCTGTTCATGCCTAGTATGATTGACCATAATAGTTTTTTGGGGGACTGTGCATCTGCTTTTGTCCGGTCGATCTGATCAGGGCTTCGCCAGAAGTTTAGGCCTCAAGCCTAGGAGCAAGCCCCAAAACCCTGTCTGGGAGTCTCCGAAACTAGGGACCCTCATATAGTACCCTACATAGTAGGATCCTTATAATAAGGACGCCAAAATAAGGTACCTCTAATTTTCGGAAACTCCCATATCACACTTCCATAAGCACTGATCCCCAAAGAGGAGGCAAGATTTGTTGATCAGCTGCAGAGGGTTTGTAAGGTCTGCATCGGGCTCGAATGAGTTTTTGACGGGTTGATCCCAAGAAACAGTCCAGACAATACCGCAGATCAAATTCCAACTTTCGAACGCTGCAAGCTCTAAGCGAAGCCCAACTTAGTACACATTAGCGGCCTTCCTACAACCCTAAAAGTTCCCACCTGAGACATGGCGGCGATGCAAG